GAAGGGGGATATTTTCAGTCACATTTAAAGACATTAAAAAACACTGCGCTGCACTTTGAAACTTGTGCGCGGTGTTTGTTACCTACGCGGCCGCTCACGCACACAGCTTAGAGGGAACGCTGGCTGTTGGCCTTATATATACCTTGCAGAACCTAGTATCTCAGCTGTGTACTTCTATTCATCGCTGCTCACAAAGGTAAGGGCAAAGGGCATGGGCCGGAGGGTGGGGGGTGGAGGGCGAGCTGGCAAATGGGTGATACTGACAGTGGGTGTACTGACATGTGAAGCATGTGAAGGTAGTAGGGGAGCATGCGGGAGACCGTGGCATGGGAGCCCTCCTGGGGTGTTTCCCGAAGCTGGTCTGACCTGCGAGTTGAGCATATGGAGTGACACAAGCCCTGGAGGTGGTTAGGGCAGGGGGTGGTGATTGGCAGGGGATAACATAAACGGGTGGCCCTGAAGATGCTGCGAAAGGAAGCGCTCAGGATACCAAAAGAGCAGCTCCTCGCATTTTGGCTGCTGCAATAAGTATGAGAAGCCCAGCCAATGTTTTGAGCATGGTTAACATCTCCAGCCCAATGAGTTTAAGCTGCCCTGTTTCAATAACCATTGTTCCCTCTAAGCTGCGTGGCTGCATGGCCGTGCATGTGGAAAGTAAACACCGCGCAGCAGTTTCCAACTGCCACGCAGTGTCGTTTGCCAGACATGGACTGCAGTCTACAAAGCAGCCGCACAATCACGATTGAAACCCCCTCCAGCTAAACAGGAGTCTTGAGGTGCAGCAGGGCAGCAAAGTGACTGTATTGAGGACTTGACATGGTTCGGGCTTCCTGGAGCAACTCTTTAGAGGGAACATTGCCCACAGCTGCCTTCGCACAAGTTTAAGAGGGCTAAATTTGCCTCGTTGGGTGGGTGGGGGAGTGATCGACAGAAACTCGCTGAAAGAAAGTTCTTTCTGACCCACGTTTTAACCTCCGAGATAAATGTATTGTGTGAAAGCAGCTGGCTTCCCTTCCTCTCTAGCATCCGTGCCTCGATTAACACATAAAAGCCCACAAGGAGTGGGAGCTGGTCACGAACCAAGAACAAGCCAACTAAGCCGAGTGTGGGTTGCTCCGCAGAGGACAACCCACGCTCGAGAGAAATGGCAGCAGTGAGCTCCTGTCTTTGCTTTCCACCTCTCCACGAGGTAGAAAGCGAAGGCAGAAGGCTCACTGCCGCCGTTTCTCTCGAGGCTACCCACCTGAGGCTCACATTGGCAAATCCAGGGTGGCGCAGCAGCAATCCTAAACTCCCACCTAGAGCGCTCGCACCACAGAATCCAAATGCAGGAAGCAGGTCTGTTTCCTCATGCATCTCTCTCTTTCAAAGAAAACCTTCCTTGTTCTACCTCTCCTGGCTGCAATCTCAGCTATCTTTGAGTCTCCAGCCAGTCACACGACATCACGTGATATTTGATAACTCATTGGGATCTTCAAAGTCATTGAGAATAGTTTTGCTTTTCATCTAATTAAACTTCCTATCTGTCAGTTTATCTGTGCAATTTTGTTGGATATTTTGGGTCACTAGTTACTATCACTA